AACTTAGGCAGTCTCCTTGCTGAGCCTGAGCTGAGCATGGGGCCTGATGTGTGGGGCTCAATCCCGTGACTCTGGGATCACAACCTGAGCCAAAATCAAGAGTTGGATGCTCAACTGACTAAGCCACCCAGGCAACCCAGCCAACTCCCAAATTTATATACCAACTTGGACTGCTCCCCTAACTCCACTAAATAGCCTACTCAAGATTTCAACCTGCAGTAAGGCATATCAAATTTAACCTATCCCAGGATGAACTCCTGATCTCTCCCCGATCCTCCTATATTCTTCCTCCATCTTTACTAAATGGCATCTCCATCCTTCAAGTTGCACAAACCAAGAACCCATATCAAAAAGGCAACATCTCCTGTTGGCTCTAGCCTCAGAATATATCCAGAACTCAACCATGTCTTACTGTTCTGTTCCTGCCACCCTAATTCAAACTAGTGTCCTTTTTTGCTTTCCTGTTTCTGCCCTTTCCTCCCTAGGGTCTAGTCTCTATATAGAGACCAGAGTTATTCTTTTAAATTTTTTTTTTCAACGTTTATTTATTTTTGGGACAGAGAGAGACAGAGCATGAACAGGGGAGGGGCAGAGAGAGAGAGGGAGACACAGAATCGGAAACAGGCTCCAGGCTCTGAGCCATCAGCCCAGAGCCCGACGCGGGGCTCGAACTCACGGACCGCGAGATCATGACCTGGCTGAAGTCGGACGCTTAACCGACTGCGCCACCCAGGCGCCCCCAGAGTTATTCTTTTAAAACATAGGCCAGATCATTTCACTTCTCTGCTCATAACCCTTTCATGGTTTCCTATTCTACATAGCTTAAAGCCCAGTTTTTTCCATTATTGCCTACTACTATTCCTTTTGCTTACACCACCACAGCTACATTTTTTTCCCCACATTATTTTTGATACATTTTGTTACTTGAAAATGTCAAGCAGTCTCCTGTCACAGGTTGTACTGTACTTGACAAATATCCTTGGAAAGCTATTTCCCCAGAATAGCTACATGCCTCCCTCCTCCTCCTTGGATCTCTGCTAAATGTCATCCTATCTCTGATTATCCTTTTAAAAATAGCTAGTGTGCCTCCCCCCCTAAATTCTTATCCCTTTCTCTGTTTGTCTCTGTAACACATATCATTGTCATATTATATTTTAATTTAAATTGTGTCTATGTCTCTTTTCTCATCCACTCCTCCCAAACTCAGGCTATAAGCTTAATGAGGGCAGGAAATTGTGTCTGTTTATGTTCACTGCTGTATCTCTACCAAAATGCCTGGATAAATGTTGCCTAGGCATTAAGAAATTCTTGGTTGGTTCTTATTTTTATAACTAGGTACTTAAGAAGCTTAACCTTTTGGGGCACCTGGGTGGCTCAGTCAGTTAAGCGGCCAGCTTCAGCTCAGGTCATGATCTCACAGTCCGTGAGTTTGAGCCCCGTGTCAGGCTCTGTGCTGACAGCTCAGAGCCTGGAGCCTGCTTCAGATTCTGTGTCTCCCTCTCTCTCTGCCCCTCCCCTGCTTATGCTCTCTCTCTCTCTCTCTCTCTCTCTCTCAAAAATAAATAAAAACATTAAAAAAAAATAAAAAATAAATAAAAAAGAAGCTTCACCTTTTACTTATTGTTGACCTGGAGGAAATTAATCTTTTTAAGTTTCAAGTAAGCTTGAAACTTGCTTTTATATTCTTACAACCACTTACTGACCTTTCTCTTCCTATTTGACTTCTCTACATCTTAAGAAGCTTGTCCAGGGGCGCCTGGGTGGCGCAGTCGGTTAAGCGTCCGACTTCAGCCAGGTCACGATCTCGCGGTCCGTGAGTTCGAGCCCCGCGTCAGGCTCTGGGCTGATGGCTCGGAGCCTGGAGCCTGTTTCCGATTCTGTGTCTCCCTCTCTCTCTCTGCCCCTCCCCCGTTCATGCTCTGTCTCTCTCTGTCCCAAAAATAAATAAAAAACGTTGAAAAAAAATTAAAAAAAAAAAGCTTGTCCAAAAAACAGCGGTAATAATAGAATTTACCTCATAGTGTACTCCGAAGACTAAATAAGACATTGCATGAAATAAGTTACTTAGTGTAATATCTGGCATATATTAAGGGTTCAGTAAATATTTGCTATTTTTATTATTTACAAACTGTATTGTTTTCAATGAATTTGCTATCTTTCACCACTTTCCAGTGTTCATTAAGATGTATATGATGATGTTTTTCAGATCGTCCATGCCTTAAAAATAAGCAATATGTGGAAAATTTACAAGAACCAGTTTTACAGATTTTATACAAATATTCAAAAATTTATCATCCAGAAGACCTACAGCATTTTGCTCGTCTCATAGGGAGGCTCACAGAACTGAGGACACTGAATCACAACTACTCAGAAATACTTAGCACTTGGAAAGCAAAGGACCCCAAATTGGCTAGTTTACTCTCAGAGAAATGGAATTTGTATTCACATTGCTGAAATTTTAGAATGTGGTTGTGGTTTGTCTTAAAACTTTCAAAATCTAGATTGTTTATCATTATAGGATGACTGCTTTGAAAAACATAAACAGAATTGCTAGGTTACCAATGTATCAGCATAAAATGGGACATTATCAGTGCTCATCAAATTTTGTGGGATATAGGACCACCACTAGAGGGACATCCAGGATTCTTTTCCAGATTTGACTCAAAAGAAGCAAGGATTATTGTTTGCATGGTTCCTTCTGAAGGGAAAAATGCTAAATAGAGTTCTTTCCTGAAGATGCTCTACTTTTTCCCTTTAGTAAAAACTGAACGAAAATATGTAGATTACTTATAGACATGAGAAAGGGTATCTAGTGGAAACAATTGTAATCAGAATAAAGACAGTTTGTGAACCTCATTAATTAGGCCAGATTGATGGATAAAGGAGTAACATTTTAAACTTATTCCTGTTATGGCATTTTATGAATTATTAAAGAGGAACAAAACTTTGTTCAACTCTTACCTTTTCTTAATGTTTTCTAAAAAGAAATCGTTTATAAGCCTAAATTAAAAAAAATTGTGATGGTAAAATATTGAAAAAAGTTAAAATGACAAATCATTAAAATGGTTTAAAAAAAATTTTTTTAACGTTTATTCATTTTTTGAGAGACAGAGCGTGAGGTGGGGAGGGGCAGAGAGAGAAGGGGAGACACAGAATCTGAAGCAGGCTCCAGGCTCTGAGCTGTCGGCACAGAGCCCGACATGGGGCTCGAACTCAGGAACTGGGAGATCATGACCTGAGCTGAAGTCGGACGCTTAACCGATTGAGCCACCCAGGCGCCCCTAAAATGTTTTAACACATATTGGGAAATACTGGCACGATTTACTGCTTATTCTGGCAGACAATACTTTGACATTTTTGCCAATATCTTTTGGAGAAAAAAATGAAGTTCTTAAAAACTGAAATCTTCCCACAAATATTTTAATCCTTGTAAGGATAGGAAGGCTATCTAGTAAAAATAAATTTCATATGAGATACATGAAATTAATAAATTCTGTGGTGGTATCATTTTGAAAGACTGGGTGTAAGTCTTTCAATACTGTGAATTTAAGTTAATTTGATAGCAGCAGTTTGGTTTTCGATGAAAAAAAAAAAGCCCATAGTTAAATTTTTCACGTTTATAAAACTTAAAAAAAAAAAAAGACATAGTTGAATTTATATCCTCAACTTCAAAATGATCTTATTTAAATGTATTAATTATTGTCCCCCGGGGGGGGGGGGGAGTATCTTGGGCATAAACCTGGAATCATCTCTTGGAGGGAATATTCTTTTTTTAGGGTATCTAGACTCAATTTCCTTAAAGTGTAAAATGAAGGACAACCTGGCTCATCTCTTTCAAAGCTCAAAAAATTTTTAAATTCTAGCAGAAACTATGATGTCTCATTAAATTTACACAAAACAAAATTGGTTATTTAAAAATATTACTTAAGTCCTTTGGAAAAACATCAATTATAGACATTAGAAAACAAAGTCAAATGTGGTCAAAACGGAACGGAACTCATCTAATTGCTCAAACCTAGGTACTTAGAATCATAATATTTATTAGAGTTACTTGCCCAAGTCTGAAACTAGGAAGTCATCTTAGACTTCTCTCTTTCACTGCTTACTGTTAAAACAGCCCATCAACTCCTATTAATTTTACTTCTAAATACCTTTTACTTTTGATGCCTCTTCCTCATCTCCAGCGCCACTGTCATGGCTCGGGTCCTCATACTTCACCCAGCCTATTAAAACTGTCTCCCTAACTCAAGTCCCAATGCCTGCCTAAACCATTTCTCATACTACAAATTTTCTTCTGAACTTGATCTTGCCTCCCTCTCCACTCAGAATTCTACAAGTTCCCCGTCCACAGAGGCTAAAATCCAAAGGTCTTTGCAAGGCCTTATCTGTCAAGCCTGCAGTCTCCTTCTTGCCATTCCCCGACGTTGTCCTCACACACCTACGCCACACTTGTTGGAGTCTCTCTTGTACTAATCTCTTTCACAACCACAGGGCCTTCGCCTACCTTCAGGAGTAGTCTTTCCCCATTGACTAGACCAATCTGTCTATAGTCACTCTATTCTTGACGGAAGCCTTAAAAGAAGCCTGTCACATCTGGGCAGCCTCTCCTGACTCCCCAGGCCACTGAAAGTACCGCTTTCCCTGTGTCCTAACCAGTCTTTGAAAATTACCACCTTTAAATGATTATACGTGGCTACAACTGTTTGCCCATCTGTTTTTTGCCCTGACTGAACTCTCGGAAGACACAAGAGGATTTTTTATTCTTCGCTCCAATCTGTCATGGGACTTGCTATAGTCTTCCTTGCATTCTCTGACAATCGCAGAAGCTTCAAGAATGTCTAAAGAAAAACAGAATCCGGAGAAGAATTGTTACCGACACAAAGGAAAATCTCGCGAGAATCGGGAGCGGGCCAACGGTCGCGGCTGACCGTTATTTAGCCGTTAAACCGTTGTGCACCCGGCCCTTTTCGGCCGGCCGCTGAGGCGGAGCGATTTCTTACTTTTCTGGAGGTTCGGAGGCAGAAGTTCTCGTAGATTCTTTTTGCCGCCCTAGTAGACAGCGGGTAGCAGTTCGCGTGGGCACCGAGTCCACGGTTTCCCGCTGACTATTCAGAGGTAAGGGCAGGTGTACTGAGTTCTTTTCCTGACGACCGAACCCGGAGCTGGGCGATATTTTGATTCTGGCCGCCCCCACCCCCCACCCCCCGGCGCCTCGTTGGTAGCTGTAGCCCCCTAAGAACCTAAGGTAGTTCTCGCGGCTGGGTGATGCAATTTACCAGGGCCGGTGGGGGGCAGAGCTTTCTTTTCAGGGGTGGGAGTTTCTGGCTTATCTACGCCGGCAGCGTGGCCATTGGCGGTGGGGGGTGGAAGGGAACAACTGCGGGGTGTTTTTACTTTGCCCAGTGATGTGACGCTGCAGACTCACATTGTAGCAAAGCGTACACCTGCTCCTTGACACAGCATTTATTGTACAAACGTCGCCTTTTAAAATAAAGAGGGTATTAATGAAACCATGTAAAACGCTTTCCCTCCCTCCACCCCGCCCGCTGGGGCAACAGATAATTACAACTGGAAGAGAGAAAATGGAAAAGCAAAAGCCTTTTAAATTGTTCGTACCACCAAGATTAAGTAGCAGTCAAGTATCTGCAGTGAAACCTCAGAATTTGGGAGGAGATTCTAATTTCTTCAAGGTAAATTTGCGTATGAATCTTGATTTGAATATTCTTCAGGTAAAGAGGCACGGTGTAGTTTCTAACTGGTAATATTGTATAATTTTATTTGTACATTGTATAATTTGTTTTTCAGTAAGTGTGGCCTGATTTGCCCAAGAATTTTTATTTTTAATTTATTTTTTTATCTTTTTTAATGTTTATTTTTTATTTTTAAGATACAGAGAGCACTAATGGGGGAGGGGCAGAGAGAAAGGGAGACTCCGAATCCGAAGCAGGCTCCAGGTTCTAGGCTCCCAGCGGTCAGCGCGGAGCCCCATGCGGGACCTGAACCCAGGAACCCTGAGGTCATGACCTGAGCCGAAGTCGCTCAATGGGCAGAGCCACCCAGGCGCCCTATTTTTGATTTTATTTTAGCCCAAGAATTTGTAAACAAATTTATTTAAAAATTTAAATCCCATTTACTTGATATACAGTGTTATATTAGTTTCAGGTGTACAATACAGTGATTCAGCAATTCTGTACATTATTCAGTGCTCATGAAGATAAGGGTACTCTTAATCCCCTTCACCTATTTCACCCCTCTCTCCACCACCTTCCCTCAGGCAACCACCAGTTTGTTCTCTATAGTTATGAGTCGCCTTCTTGGTTTGTCTCTTTTTTCCCTGTAGCCTCCTTTGTTTTGTGTCTTAAATTCCACATAGGAATGAAATCATAGGGTATTTGTCTTCTTCTGACCGACTTATTTCGCTTACCACTATACTCTCCCAACTCTGTGCTTGTCGTTGCAAATGGCAAGCTTTCATTCTTTTTTTATACATCAGTACTATTCCATTGTATATCTATAGCACATCCTTAATTTTTTTTTTTGATGTTTATTTTCGAGAGAGACAGCGCAAGCCGGGGAGGGGCAGAGAGAGAGGGAGACACAGAACCTGAAGCAGGCCCCAGGCTCTGAGCTGTCAGCGCAGACCCCGACGTGAGATTCGAACCCACAAGCTGTGAGATCGTGACCTGAGCCAAAGTCGGACGCCCAACCGAGTGAGCCACCCAGGCACCTATAACACATCTTCTTTATCCACTCATCTATCAGTAGACACTTGGGCTGCTTCCATGGCTCGGCTATTGTAAATAATGCTGCAGGACACATAGGGGTGCATACATCTTTTCAAATTAGTGTTTTCATATTCTTTGGGTAAATACCCAGTAGTGGAATTACTGGGTCATAGGGTAGTTCTATTTTTGTTTTCTGAGGAACCTCCATACTGTTTTCCACAGAGGATGCACCAATTTGCATTCCCACCAGCAGTGCACAAGTGTTCCTTTTTCTCCACATCCTCACCAACACTTGTTTCATGTGTTTATGGTTTTTGCCATTCTGACAGGTGATGTGATACTGTGATTTTGACTAACATTTCCGTGATGATGAGTGATGTTGAGCATCTTTTCAGGTGTCTTTTAGCCATCTGGATCTCTTCTTTGGAGACCTGTTTGTTTCATGTCTTCTTCCCATTTTTTAAATTGGATTATTTGGTTTTTTTTGGTATTGTATATATATTTTGGATACTAACCCTTTATTGGATATGTCATTTGCAAATATCTTCTCCCATTCAGTAGGCTATTTTTTAGTTTTGTTGATTGTTTCCTCACTGTGCACAAAGAAGCTTTTTATTTTGTTGTAGTCCTCATAGCTTATTTTTGCCTTTGTTTCCCTTGTCTCAGGAGACTTGCCTAGAAAAATGTGGATATGGCCAGTGTCAGAGAAACTCCTGCCTGTGTTGTCTTCCAGGATTTTTATTACCCAAGAATTTTGAATAGTATTGCTTTGAATGAATAATGAGCATACTTAATGTTTGCGAGCATTGTTCATTAAAAAAAATAATCACTGTTGCCATAGAACTCTGGGTACATAATGGGTCCTAATTTGAATCCTCTCTTGGAGGCAACTTATAAGACATGTACATTGAAGTATCAAGGTATAAAAGTATATTCAGAGACTATTAGGATCAAAAAAATAAGAAAATTTGGACAAATATGTCAATATACTGGTAAAAATTAGTGTCTGACTAAGCTTAAAATTTGGCTTTGAGCTTCCTGCTTGACAGGATAAAAAGAGAAATTCATTTCTGTAGTAGAGTTCTTACCAGAAAGGGGGAATCATACCAAGTTTCTCAGGCAAAACAGCTCTTACTACTAAATTATTTTAAAAATTTCTCTGTGGAACTTTATATTGGAGATATAAATATTTCCAATGTTTATAATATATAATCTATATATAATCTATATAACATGTAATAATATAATATAATAATAATTATAACCCAATAATATATAATATTTATATACTAAATATATAAAATGTTAAAATATTTTAATTTTATATGCTGTAGAAAAATTTCTATGTATAGCTAAGAGGATAACATTAAAATGCTATTCAGTGAAGACAACTCTCAATTCTCTCAAGGAAAAGATAATGAAATTGAAGAAGACTAATATATTAAGCTAGTAATTAAAATTACTGTTACTTTTGGGGTGCCTGGGTGGCTCAGTTGGTTAAGTGCCCAACTTCGGCTTAAGTCATGGTCTCATGGTTCATGGGTTAGAGCCCAGCACTAACCCACTGACAATGTGGAGCCTGCTTGGGATTTTCTCCTTCCCCCCCCCTCTGTCCCTCCCCCCACTCATGCTTTTTTTTCTCTCTCTGTCAAAAATAAATAAAAATAAATAAACTTTTAAAAATAAAATAAGATTTTACTGAATACTTCCAAAGTGTGTATTGTGAAATTTATAGTTTAGCTTTATCTTCTAAGTCAAAAAATTTTTTGCTTTCTTATATAGCAAAACCACTTGATATTTTAAATACTGTATATACATGAAAGGATTTACAATTAAAGTCACTTTTTCAAGCAGATGTATGTTCCATATATAACTACATATTCACTCCTAGTTACCAGAGTGATATGGAACAGTATGTTTAAGAACTTCTTTGTGTTTCTAGAGTTTCAACAAATGTATTGAAGATGATTTTGGCTTTCCATTTGCAATGACTAATCTCTCCAAAAATGGGGAAAACGTTGATTCAGGTAAGAAACTGGAACAGCAATACATGACTATACGTGTAAGCATTTTTTATATATACATTGTTAGATATTGAAAATGTAAGTATTATATTGATAGCCTTGACATTAAAGCTAGATATAATACTTGACTTAAAAAATAAGGTGTTGGCATACTTAATATCAGTTGTCTTCTATCTTGCAGATCCTGCTTTACAAAAAGTTAAGGTTTTGCCCATGCTTGAACAGGTCAGTTAAGTATAACGTACAATACTATAACATATAACATGTTTAGGTCTTGAGTTGCTTGTTTGAAAAAAGGAAAAAAAATTCTTTATTTGTTGGATTACTAGCCTTTAGTATTTAATTGCTACTATTTGGAAACTCTCATCAGACATATTTTCTTACAGGAAACATTTATTCGTTTTTTTAGGTTGATAACTCTGACAGTTGTCACTACCAGGAAGGACTAAAAGACTCTGATTTTGAGGTCAGAAGTTTTCCTATCCATATTCAATTTATTGTAATTGGAGTATCATTTATTGTTATTTGCTTATATTTTTCTTTTGAAGCTTCTAAAGGATTAAAATTTGGCTAATGTTTTAAGTTATATCCTTCAAAATCTTTTTCCCCTCTTTGTTTTTCTTTTAAAATTATTGAAACACTAGGCTTCTGTATTTTCCTGGGTTATACAAGCAACCATCCTTTAGGAGAAATTGAATTTTAAACTATAGCAAGAATAGAAGAGGGGCTGTGGCTACAATTTCATAGGCTCAGCTTATGAAAAGGCTGAGAATCAAGTCACTATTTTACAAATAAAACTAATAGGTATGATTGTTTGGCTGGTTTGCTGTCTAAGGAATTTTTTTTTTTAAGGCTTATTTATTTTGAGAGAGAGCACAAGCAGAGGAGGGACAGAGAGAGAGGGAGAGAATCCTAAGCTGACAGCACAGAGCCTGATAAGGGGCTTGATCCTGTGAAATGTGAGATCATTATCTGAGTCTGGTGCTTAACTGACTGAGCCACCCAGGAGGCCCCAGAGCATGTGACTCTTAACCTCAGGGTCCTTAGTTCAAGCCCCACATTGCGTGTGGGTCTACTTAAAAAAAACAAAACAAAACAAAAAACCAACAGAGAGAAACTATGGCCTGATCAAATGCTGTATGTTTGTTGCTGTGATTATAGCATCACAGAATTTAATATTCATATATTTTGATAGCAGAGCTAATCAGAAAACAAATCAATATGATTTAAAAAATACAAACTCTGGCATTACCTTATAATGTTGAAATGGATAATGAAGGAAATCCAAATAAAATCTAAATAGAACCTGAGAATAAAAAAAAAAAAAGAAACTGCGAATAAATGAAAGCTAGATCTTTTATTAA